GAAAACCGCAAGTCCAATTGCTCTGATATTACATATACAGGTACTACATGTGGACCTCTCTCAGATTTGTTCATTTTGTAATGATATCTTAAATTTTCTAATTTTGGTGACTATTTTTGTCATTTTTGGTAAAAAGTGATATTTTCGACTTCTTGTTAAAAACCGCAAGTCCAATTGCTTTGATATTACATATATAGGTACTACATGTGGACCTCTCTCAGATTTGTTCATTTCATGATGATATCTTTAATTCTCTAATTTTGATGAATATTTTGAAATGTTTGGTAAAAAGTGATATTTTCGACTTCTTGTTGAAAACCGCAAGTCCAATTGCTTTGATATATTATACATATAGGTACTACATGTGGACCTCTCTCAGATTTGTTCATTTTCTAATGATATCTTCTGTTCTTTAATTGGCATGTGCATTGCTAACAGCGGAGCTATCTCAGCCGACAGGCTGCTTGTTAATAAATCCAACAAATACTGCTCACCATGAAAAGAAGTTTTTATAACAAATTATACTAATGATACAATATCAAAATCATTAATTAAAAATGCTGAAAGTATAGTTTATCTATATAACCTTATAAATTAAGTTGATAAACTTTATTCTTGTGACATGCCTCAAAATTAACAAAATTTATGATGTGCTACCAGTTTTAAAAGCTGTTATTTCCATGTTATTTCAATTTAGTTTTTAAATTACAACCATGCAGAAAGTCTGAATAGAAATAAATACATGTCATTTTTCTCAATTTGTGGAGGACATCCATAGTTTTGAAGTCTAATTGCCTTATTTCGGAAACAAAGTACCGGTAGTCCAGATGGGCTGCTAAATATTGAAAATGGTAGCCCTAGGAGAAGATTTGGTAGTTTGTGTGCCTTAGTCCACTGTTAATTTCACACCCTGGTTGATCATGATATTGAATTTGACTGTCAGCAACTCAGGCATCCTATACTGTTTGACAGTTTCCAGGATTTTGTTGTTGTTACAGTGCATTTCAAATGTACATTTTTGTTAATTATAATTCTTGTTATTCTCTAGGTCAACTCCGAGAACAATGACATCATTCCGTATTTTCATTTCTACATTCCTGAAATCAACCAGCGAATTGATATCAGATCTGATTACATCTGTTGGATTCATCATATCACAGGGCAAGTTCCAGTAAGTTAGTTAAAGTGATGTGGTGGTTGGCATGGTTACAGTAGAATGCATGAGAGAAAGGGGAGAAAATGGCAGCCTTCTTGCATGCTGATCGAGCTTCAATACTAAAACTATATGAACAGTATCCTGACTTCCCAATATCATGTATTCTACACTGTATATTGTATCATTTAAATGTGCCTTTGCTCATTGTTTATGTATGAACATTTAGCTTGTGGGAAAACGCATCTCTAACCTGCTTTGCATTGTTCCTTCAATAATATTTTGTAGTTTTTGAATGTAAAGTAGTTCACTAATTATGTGTTTACAGTGGCATCGTCTATGTACTTATGCTAATAAACTCTCAATGTATGACATGATTGTTTATATCTTATAGGTTGGCTACCAGGCTTTGTCATTTTGTATGTACTGGTAAACATAGTTGTTTATATCTTATAGGTTGGCTACCAGGCTTTGTCATTTTGTATGTACTGGTAAACATAGTTGTTTATATCTTATAGGTTGGCTACCAGGCTTTGTCATTTTGTATGTACTGGTAAACATAGTTGTTTATATCTTATAGGTTGGCTACCAGGCTTTGTCATTTTGTATGTACTGGTAAACATAGTTGTTTGTATCTTATAGGTTGGCTACCAGGCTTTGTCATTCTGTAATTATCCTTTCTCCCTGGACTCACATGCTAAGACTAAACTATTACATGTTGATGCTTTAATGCAGATGCAGGTTTGTATTACTGTATTTTTGTTGGTACTTTCTTTCCAGATAAGGATTTCCAGTGACTGATAGTATCAACTCAATGCTACTATTTTATTTATTCATTCAAACACTATGTTTTGGAAACAATAAAAAAATCTACAAATCACTTGACAGTATTAAAATGTTTTAGGAAAGGACAATAGACAGGTTACACACAAATATAATTGTTGGTATGTCTTATCTCCAGTAAAGAAAACTAAATTGATATAAAATGCCATTAGTTAATTCTGAATTTTAGATTTACAATATTCAAATCACAGAAATGCAAAATACGGTAATGTTCCAAAAATTAGAATCATGAATCCAACTTTTCCTAAAGGTTGGTTTAACTTTAAAAAATCCTTACTTGTAATGATTGTTTACTGTGAACCATTTTTACTGTTGCAGGCTGCAATGGATGAAGTACACAGAAGAAACATTGAGAGCATATTTCTACCTCAGATAGATCCTGTTAGTCCATGTCTTGTTCTTAATATACGACGTGAGAACATTGTACCAAACACACTAGATCAGATCAGTAAACAAGGAACCATTGATCTAAAAAAGCCACTCAGAGTATCATTTGTTGGTGAAGATGCAGTAGATGCTGGGGGTGTTAGAAAGGTATATAACTGGTTACCAACGTTCATTTTATTATTATTTAGAATATTTAATTTGGTGCATATGACGTGTGATCACTAAATGGCAGCAAGCATAACAGCCCAGTGAGACTGTGTATTTTAAAACTACTTTAAAACCATTATATTTCACTATTTAAATGTTTTGAGCAATTTCACTGGGTTTTAATTTCACAAACTTGGCAGGAAACAATGAGCTCTATTTAGCGGATTTTACCTATTATCTAAAATAGCAAAATTAAAACCAGTGAATAATTAATGTGTTTACAGTAACTTAGACTAACAGGGATATTAGTGTCACTTTGCGAGTATGCAATGGTACTGACTCAAGTCCCAGACTTCACTTCCTTCCATACTTCCATACAAAGATAATATCAATATAAACTATGAGGATTTGTGACAACCTCCAAAAGGCCTTACTCAGTTTACAAAGAACTAAAGTTCAAAAGTCCAACAAAATTGGTCCTTTTTTCACTCACAATTGTCAGTTCTGTGCTACCTGTTAACTCGCAATCGCTAATATGGAGTTGCATGCAAACTTGCAACTTCACTCACTCGACCCGGATTTTTACAAATTTACATAGCTCCTTTTGTTTCACTGTTTTTGACTCCCATGTGCAAAGCACAAAATGGGAGTCTTTGCAGTTAGTGTGTCTGTATGTATGTGTGTGTGTGTGTGTGTGTATGTTTGTCCGTATGTGTGTCCGTCTGTTCCACTGATATCTCAAGAACCATACATCAATTTTTGGAGAAACTTGGTGCATAGATGCTCTGGGCCAATGCACAGATTTGGTTAGTTTTTTGTAAAAATCTGTGCATATTAATTACTTAATTTGCATGATAATTAGCTAATTTTTAGCTGTTCCATGACTATTCCACTGATATCTAAACAACCACTCATTGGATTTTGATGAAACTTGGTACATAGATGCTCTGAACTAATGCTAGGATTTGATTAGTTTTTGGTAAAAATTACCTACTTACTAACTACCTAATTTGCATAATGATTAGTGAATTTTCGGTTTTTCAACTGATCAAGTACTAATCATCACATTTCAATGAAACTTTGTACATCGATGTCATAGGACACTGCACAAACCTGATAGTTTTTAGGGTAATATCAGTGCATATTAATTACCTAATTTGCATAGTTAATTAATTAATTTTCAGCTTTTGATGTTTCAAGTAGTAAGCATTACATTTCAATGAAACTTGGTACATAGATACTCAAGGACTATGCAGAGATTCATTTTTTTGGGATAAATATTTGTGCATATTAATCACCTAATTTGCATAAATAGTTAATTTTCAGCTTTTCCACAGATATCTCGAGTACTAATTATTCCATTTCAATGAAACTTGGTACAAAGATGATCTAGGACAATGTACAAACCTGATTAGTTTGGGGTTAAAATCTGTTTATATTAATTCTCTAATTAGCATAATAATTCATAATTTGTTTTGGTTCCAATCACATTCCAATAAAACTTGGTACATAGATGATCTGTTACATTGCGCAGACCTCATTTGTTTTACCTTCAAATCTGTTCATATTAATTTTCTGATTTGCATTATTAGTTTTCAGCCTTTCCATCACTATCTCAATCATGTACAAGTAATTTTGAATTATATTTAATGTGTCTCCAATACTCTCAGCACATGGGAGTTCTTTCTAAGCTTTCTTTGATTATTCATTGTATCTACCTTGTAATGTAGTTGGCTTGTTAGTTAACAAACATGTATTGCTAGGTATCTCGATGAAACAAGTCAAATGCTTTATATTGCAAATAATACACACTAAATACAATTGTTTATTATCTAGTGCTGGATGTAGCAATCATTGGAATATTATGAATGATGAAATCTATTTTCACTAATGCGTGTGTTTCATTTCTTTATTTTCAGGAATTCTTTATGTTGATTCTTCGTGAGATTTTAAATCCAAAGTATGGCATGTTCCAATATTACAATTCTCGAACTGTCTGGTTTAATGATAAGGTGAGTTACAGATGAAATTATTGCAGCTATGCTTTCAGTGACAGACATGCACGATTTGCCAGTCACAGGAAATCTATGCAGACACACACTGACATTTTTGTTACAGTACTATTACAAACTTGTATATTAAAGAAAATGGGATAGCAATATTTTATAATGTTGTCACTTAGTTACTTATCTAATCAGTTTGATTGAAATTCTATATCGTAAAATCTGTATTAGAAAATGTATTCTCAATTCAGCCATACACATTCTTTTTTAAAATCTCATCATTTCTTGTATGTGTAGATGCTCTACTAGAAGCCTTATCCCCTCTGTTACATTGTACCATTTTAATAGAATCTGATACAGATTTTACAGTACCCTTGAATTTTTTTACATTTTTCCTCATTGTTATTTTTGTTATAAATTTGGTTGTGCTTGTTATTATTAAGTTACAAAATATATACTGATAAAAACCATAAATAACATTAAAAATTAATAAATAAAATACATTTATACATGAGATTTTAATCAGGTTGATGCCTAATATGCCCAGAATTCACAGCACTGTTTAATTCTAAAGTAGTACATTGTACCAGTTTTAACAACCTACTATAGGTTTTCCCTCTACTAAGTTCATTGTGACTGTCTCTGAATTTCCCTGCATGTTTCCACATGCATAATAGTTATTACTAATGTAATGCTTTTCTAGTTAATAGTTACAATAATTAATATGCAGTAAACTTCTAAACCTAAAGCACTGCATATTGTGGATTAGCTATCTATAATCTAAGTTTTCCTTTACTGTAGAATACTTTATTTTCGCTTGGAATTTATTTTCGCTATTTTCGCTGAATGGATGATTTCGTGAAAATAAAATCCAGCGAATATACTTTTTTTCCTATATTTCACATTAAATTCATCAAAAATCAGTAAAAATAAGTTCCATACAAAACGCCCAAAAAGCCTTTTCAGCGAAAATTAATCCCATCGAAAATAAAGTTTTCCACAGTATTTCAGTCATTTGAAGACAGAACAATGTATCACTTAGTAGGCGTTATTTGTGGATTACAGTACTCATTCCGCCCAACCTCCCACTTTTATCCCTTTTTTTTTTTGACCGCTCGCTGCTTTCCGACCGGAAACAGACCGCTTTTTGTTCGCTCGCTTGCATTTGTTCGGCTTCAGAAACATCGTCCACTTGCCAACTAACCGCTGGAGTAACGATGATCGTACATTGTATTATAAACTTATGTTTTTATTCGTAATAAATTTAGGTTTTAATGACGATTCAAAATACAACGCGTATTCCTTTCTGTATTGGGAAGGCGGGACAAAGACGCCTTCAAATCACTTGACACATTGTAACGTTTGCTACGCAAGTCGAACTGTGGCCTGTATTTACATATTTACGTCCTTGTGTGCGTAGTTCAAGCAGCTATATAACTGGTCAATCAATCGTGATATGTATTGAGTATTAGTATTTGTGTGTTATGTGTGTGTTTCTGTGTGTAATTTTGACTAAATTATTCCGAACGGCGCTCAAAATAATTTGACACACTATGACTCTTACTCAATTTGTAAGTAATATGAATGCTGTAGTTCAGAAAATCTATCGGGTTAACTTTTGCTCGTGTCTTGGTGCGCAAAACAAAACATATCGCATAGCTGAATTTCTGCAAATCAATTGGACTTAAACTACTAGTATAATGACTGTGACGATTAATTGCTTGTCTGAGTACATGCAGCGACAAATTATTGGATTGGCAGCAGCCGGACGAAAAATGAAAGAGGAAAACATAAAACAAAACAAACGCAGCCAGTGATACATTTTGAAAATAAAAATACAAAATAAACGCAATCAGAGGAGCCGACCACGCACGTTGGAAATAAATAAAACGTGTTGTGACACACTGGCAGCCCCATCAGACTCTTTCACTTTCCCAAAGCACTTATATTTAATACATTGACTAAAAACACCGCAAGAAAAATGTAAATCAGGCTTGTAGGCGTTATTTGTGGATTAGTTATTTATAATCTAAGTTTTCCTTTATTTCAGTCTTTTGAAGACAGAACAATGTATCACTTAGTAGGCGTTATATGTGGATTAGCTATCTATAATCTAACTATTATTGATCTACATTTTCCGTTGGTACTTTACAAGAAACTACTTGGAAAGTGAGTATATAGCCTAGCCCATGTTGCAATTCTTGATTTTGACTTTCAGAACAAATAATTCAGCTGTGTGTTATGCTTGTACTTAGTTATTGGTTTCTGTGCTTAAAAACAGTGGTTGCCATGACAATAGCATTACATCTTATTTGCTCTATTAGATACACATCCCCAATAGAAGCATGTATACACCATAACTTGCATTTGTTGTATAGTGTAGTATAAAAATATAACTTACTTTGACCATAGATTTTACACTGATGCATCTTTCTTTCTTACTTACCAGTGATACAACTTTTATTATAATATGGGTAGTCTGAATCTAGCATTCTGATTGGTTGAAGCAGTCTTATATCTGGCTGTCCCCAAAACTGAATAAACTGTCTGAATTATCCAGAGTCTGAATCGAGATCCCACGACTGTGACCACTGTTCATAGTGATTGTGGGTGTATGATCAACTAGTTAAAACAAGGGAAACCTAGTACAAGTACTAATAAATAATACATTGCGCATTTTGTGAGAAAACTCCCTGTGAGAAGCATTAGAGTTCATTGCTGCATAGCTAGGTTATTATTTCCCACCAAATATGCTAATAATTTATATTTCCCACTAAATGCACTTGCTTGTCTCTAAATATTGAAAGATACATTCAGTCACAGTTCTTTGCTTACATACATGTAACTTTCTAATGCTTACTGTTATTGTTACTGTCTTAGTAGATTGAATGCTGATCTTGTTTATAGAATTTACTAAATTTTCTTGAACCTTTAGAGACGTGAATTTGGAAGACTTTAAAACACTGGATTGGCAAGTTGCTGAAAACTTGCATTATTTACTGGAGTATGAAGATACTGATGTAGAAGAAACATTTGATTTAACATTTACTATAGGACGAGAACATTTTGGACAGTTAGAAACTGTTGAACTAATACCTGGTGGTAAAGATATATCGGTTACAGCTGAAAATAAGTAAGATATTTTTGTATATCTAAAAGTTTATCATGATTAAAATATGCTATTGTGTAATAATTCAACAGTGTCTAGTTAGTCCCCGTTCGGACACAGTCCGAAAATGGGGACTTATGTTTTGACCTCCGTGCGTGCGTCCTATATCTTAGAAATGCATGGAATAATCACAATCAAACTTCACACATACATCATACATGATATTATACATATGCACGTCAATTTGTTTCACGATCTGATTCAAGATGGCCGAATGGCGTCC